AGGACCGTTGTTTATGAACGCCTTAATTTTGATCATGCATTGTATGTCGACTGCCATAGTCGCGTTTCCATCGCTAACCGCATTTTTGGCCCCTACTGTGACAGTGTAACGATTAGGATTTGGATAAGTATGGTTCACGAAATTGTTTTTCGTCACAACACGGTTTCCATCCCCGAACTCGAACATGTAAGACACGTTAGTACCATTTCTTATGGAGGTGGTGAACAGGACTGGAAAGTCACACGGGAAGTAGGTGTTTTCTGGGCCCTTGCCTGGCTTCCCCTTGTCCTTCTCCGGTCCGGTATGGACATAAGACACTTCAAAATCTGTTATTGGCGTTTGAAGTTCAACTGCCGTTTCCAAGAAGGCGGTCTGTACTTCATTGACAACAGTAATATTCATGGTATAGGAGCCGTGAGATGGATAGCTGTGATTCAACACAAGAGGGGCGATAAAAGGTTGGTATAAAACTGAGCTTCCGTCACCAAAATGCACAGTGTAGTTTGAATTAGTCGGCGGTTCCTCACCTGGTAGAGTATCAATCGTAAAGGTGATCGTTCCTGGAGGAATATTCTGAGGACTGTTTGTGGTAAGAGTTAAATTGGGTGGGTTTTGTATACAGACTGAGACATCAAGGGTAAAGTTACTGACACTGTTGTTTCCAAAAAGGTAAACTATGAAATCACCATCGAATGCATACACGTGCTCGATTGTTATTACATCAGCAGGGAAAGGTCCTTGGTAAAATTGGTTTATAAGAGGAGAGCCATCGCTGAAATTCCACCAAAGACTAACGTTAGATCCCGCTGACATCTGAACGGAAAAGGCTGCTGTTGTTTGTACCTCAACGAACTTGGCGGAACGGTTTAGCGTTGTATTGGCTATTGGGGTGTCCACTAAGACGGGCAGAAGAATCGTTTGACGAGGCGTGACATAATTGACAGCTGTCACTTCAAGCTCATAGATGCCTATCACGGGCATCATCGCCGAGGTTATGACTGCTGAGCCGGATGTTGTATCTTGTGAAGTATCAACTGATGCATTGAAGGACATCCCGCTGATTACATGAGTGAAACTGACAGTAAAATTAGCGTTGGTACCTTTAGATGTGCTCCACGTTACGGAGAAATCCAATTGGAACTCTTCAGCTACTGGGTCGACTACCGTAAAGTCGGTTATTGGAACTTCCACGATGGCTATCGCTGTTGCTGTCGTGTTGTATAAGCGATTGGTACAGTTTATATCCACATTGTAGTGACCCACCGTGCTGTAATTCTTATGCGTAACATTGCCAAGTTGTTCGTACCGCAATTCAATGACGCTGCCGTCGCCCCAGTCCCACGTGCAGATGAAGTCCGTTCCTTGGATAATGCTCAGCATGCAATGAGTGAGGTCGGTTAGATTAGTCAGAGAACACACTACGGTAAAGCCGACGAGCGGTTCCACTGGTTTGTGGACTTGAATCTCTTTGGAAGCGTTTTCCCTACTTACGTTGTTGTAAGCAGAAACGCTGACATTATAAAAAGCGTAGGTAGAATAGGAATGCTGAACTGTGAGCTCTGTGGTCGTAGTGACGGTACCGTCTCCAAAGTCAATAAAAAACTTGGCATTATTTCCCTGGGTGACATTTAGTTGAATGGTCACCGTTTCGTTCACCTCGATATCCCTGTTGTCGTGGATGACGTCACAAGTCACTCCCATCAGGAGCAACTCGACTACAGCCAGGTCTTTAATTGAATCGTTGGACACGCAGTTAGACACGTTAATAGTCACCATATACTCTCCTATTGATGAATATGTGTGATTATTCATCGCGGCAAAGAGATACGCTACATCGAAAGAGCCATTATGAAAGGAGTTTCCATCGCCAAAATCTATTGTCATGTTAACACCGTTACCTTGTCTCATAATCCACTGAATAATTGTTCCTTTTCCAAGGGCCACTGGAAGGATAGATCCGTAAAAATCCAGACCTAGGATGGGATCTTGAACAATCACATCGCATGTCTTTATCACAAAGGAGATAATATTAGTAGCATAGAAAAAAATGTTATAAGAGCCGCTCAGATTATACACGGAACTGAACTGTAGATCGGAATCAAGAGTAACTTTGTGTACGGTTTGGTTTCTCCCGGCTCCAAAGTCGACAGCATAAGTGATATTGTGTCCTTTGTGAGGATGTATGGTGATTATATATGTAGCGTTCGTCGCTACAGCTTTAAGAGTTGTCCACGTCACGTTGTCCAGGCTCTCTGTCGCGGTAATGTTCGCAGTCAATTTCAACGCACTTCGCGTTCCGCGGACTGTAACTTCCTCGTGGTACTCCCCGATGGAGTAGTTGTGAGAAAAGCAAAACAACGAGGGAACTTGAACCACTGCTGCTAAAGAAAACTGCATTTGAAAGGAGCTGACTGGGGGAGAATTCCCGGTTGTGGTTAAAATTGAACCAAGACTAAGCTGCACATCATCGAAAGAAAATCCAGTAGCGTTCACCTCTTTGCTATCCCCACTGGGTCGCGACGTTATTTCTGCAAAACCACTTCCGTGGTATGTAAAACCTAGGATATCTCCCTCTTTGACGTCTACGCTGTTTTTCATGTCATCAAAATGGAAACTATGGCAACCACGTTTGGAAAGAAACACATGACTTTCAGTGATAAGCTCGTAGCTGTCGCTTAGAGATGCGCTTGGGATATATGCTGGCGTTATGTTATCGTCCGTGCAGATACCCATTGCTGTAGAAAACACTTGATTGGCCATACATGAAGACACGAATGCATTAACACAAGGTGTCAGACCAGCAACGCAGTTTCCAGTTAAATAGCAGTAACTGTTACTTGTGCCTTTACCACATACCGGGCGAAATACCTGAAAATAAAAGAGAAAACAGAGCAACACAGGTTTGACGTCGCGAGTCCCAATCTGCTAAGAAAATGGCCGTTTTTATACTAGAGGGCGCATTATCCGTCCAGAAGGATAATGCGTCCTCGCCGTTTTTATACTTAAGACGCATTATCCGTCTGGACGAACTTGGGCAAACATTTGTAGTTTGTCTGGTTATGCGTGTCTAGTATACAGACGGGCACAAGACGAACTTTACTGCGAAATTCGTCTTGAACGACAAACTAGGAGAGATAGTTCGTCTAGACGTATAATACGTCTTGTGCCCGTCTTTATACTAGCGACGCATAACCAGACGAACTACAAATGTTTGCCCAAGTTCGACCAGACGGATAATGTGTCTTTAGTATAAAAACAGCCAATGAATGCTTTTTAAATGATTCGACCAGATAAGGGTCGTGCGAGACTTACCTTGGCTCGAGCTAAACTCAAGTTACGAAAGGAAAACATATAATCATGCATTTCGGAGGTTGTCGACCTGTCTAAGGGAGAAAAGGTTTTGTGAAATTATTTTACTCATCCGTTTTCTCTTCTGTTCTCTTCTTCTCTTCCACTGAGAACATTTATTAAACAATTGAAACAGTGCTTCATAACATTACGAAATTCCTGGAATTTCGTCAGAAACACTCCGCTGTGTGTGTGATATTTTAAACTCTGGTTTTAATTTATAAGTAAAGGTTTTTTAAAACAATTTGAAGTAAAAACTAGCGGTAAAAGCGCGCGACGTTTCGATAAAAATTATTGCACAAGTATAAATATAAAACAAAGAAGTAAAAGTATGTAAAGTATGAAAATGTAAAAAAAGGGTGTTAAGAACAATAAAATGCACGCAAGAATAACACAATTAAACAGGATTTTAAAAAAAAACTTTCGCACGAATTGAGTCTGACTGTGCATTGAGACTTGCTCAGTTCATTAATAAAAAAAAACATTTCATAAATGAGACAGTCAAACTTGTTCTTGCACTTTTTTAAGGTGGTAACATTCTTTGTAAGATCCTTAGGCACATAAGAATATTTCGCACGAAAGTCTTTTCCAATGGAGGAAGACGCATTCTTGTACTCGTCTACGCGTTGATGCAAATGCCGCCGCGTGTAACCAACATAACCCGCATCACACAGGTAACATTTAAATTGGTAAACAAGGGATTGTTGGTTAACAATAGACGGCTTGACTTCACGCGGTTTCAGATGTTGTTTGATCTTGTGACCAACAAACGTGGGCTTTCGTGTGAAACACTCTTATGCGCCCAAGGATCTTACAGAGAATTTTACCACCTTAAAAAAGTTGCAAGACCAAGTTTGACTGTCTCATTTATGAAATGTTTTTTATTAATGACCTGAGACCAAGTCTCAAAGTACAGTCAGACTCAATTCGTGCGAAAGTTTTTATCATTTTTAATTATGTTATTCTTGCATGCATTTTGTTCTTAACACCCTTTTTTACATTTTCATACTTTACATACTTTTACTTTTTTGTTTTATATTTATACTTATGCAAAAATTTTTATCCTCACATTTAAGCCTGTTATTATATGGCTCTGTCTCACAAGGACTGGAAACTACCGAATTCACGAATTTGATTGGCTGAAATCGATATTGAAAGCGGTCTAGATTTTCCCATCTAGATCGGCATCTAGACCGGTAATGTTTTGCCGTAAAAATGTTGCAAACTAAAATGCAAAGTCATGGACTGTTTTCATCTAACAATATTTATTTATGGAAGGGCCAAAAAGCCTGATGAGAAACAAAAAGTAAAGAGGACGAGCAAACATTAGCAGAATTTAATTTAGCTCATCGCCGTTCGCAAGCAAAATGACAGTTAGTACAAACCAGTTACATTAAACGGATTAAATTATTCTTGTTTGCGCCATATAATAAACATCTTATTAACCGAGCTAAGTCGGTCTGTATGGGAGAATCTTGACCTCGGTGATGGGTACAGACCTCACTACGTTCGGTCAGTACTCACGACCTCGGTCAAGATTTTCCCATACAGACCTCCTGCTCGGTAATAAGAGCTAAATAATGACCGAAGTTCGGTCGAAACGTCGAACGCTTTTACCGTTAGTTTTTACTTCAAATGGTTTTAATTTAATGTTTCAAATTGTTATGAAGCACTGTCTCTCTTGATTACTGTATTGCATCAATTACGAAAGGCGAAAGTCTACCTTACAGTTCAAGTGTGACTGAGCATACCTGGAGGGTGACAAACCCACTAGTAACAGAACAAAGTCTCCAGCCCATAAGCTTGCCATCATCCTCGAACCTAGAACTGGGGATCAGCACTGTTTTGTTGGTGCTTTGACTCGGCACACTTACGGCTGGAATCGAGAACAGCTCCCCAACAAGGAAAGAACGAGCGTCTACGACAAGGAAACATAGCTGGGTCAACATGATGCAAAGTGATTATTAAGTTTGGGTAAATTCCCTTCAATTCTCGGGTTCAGAGGAGCCATATGCATATGCCTCATCAGTGTAGCAAAACTCCGCCTACTTAAGTCGCAGGTAGCCCCCCGCCCTCCCTCGTTCCTCGTCCAAAGCATTTTGCCGGAATGCCAATGGGCGAAGAGGTAAGCTCTGAGAGTCAAATGCCTTGTTTAAGGTCATTCCATTTGTGCGGGCCCAATAAAACGACGAACACTCGCAGAATTCAACATAGCAATTTAATCCGGTAGTATTACATCGAGACTTGTAATCCGACTCTTCAAGCAACAGAAAAATACACACGCAACAAGCACTCACACCCACACCCACTCGCATATAATTTAAATGTTCTACAGTCTCTTGGGACGTCTGATTGCACGCCCATAACGTGTCCTGTGTTTGACATCTTTGTCGGCTTCTACACCACTGAAATAGAACCTGCACTGAGATTTTTGTGAACCTTTGCTTATTGATTGTTTATATTATAGGAACTTAAATTTTGAAATAAAAATGAGGGGTCTCCA